CTGTATCTCTTCACGACCTTGATAGGGCCACCTTCATACACCACAAAAATAAGCAGATAATATTCTCTTTGAAAATCTCATTAGTCAAAAATAGGTATGTTCTGCCAGAGTAGACCTTTTTAACAATTAAATTATCAGGCAAGATTTGAAGCATGACAAAAAGTGATCCCAGCAATAATATTCTACGGGTTTTAACACATCAAATGAGAACTAGATTGCAACTTTTCACTGAAGGTCAATGGCATAGAGAATTTTCCATACAGCACTACCTCTAGCTATTTAAATTCATGTAATTCCACTTAATCTAAAAAAAAAAAAGTAGTAAGATATGAAGCATATTCTAAATTCAAGTAAAACTCACATATAGGAGGTAATTTTAAATCAATATTTTCAGACTACCATCATAGAGCACTACATATAATTTGTTGTGCAGAACCTATATCAAAGGAGTGCTTCCAGAGCAAAATGTTTTACTGAAAGGATAAAAACGCATATCCAATTCTGCACACAGTGTCTGTGGCAAAAGTCCTTCTTTTGTACTAAGGCCTTAGCTCATTCTAAAATAGCGGCATTTTGCCTCAAGTAGAACTGAGTTTAAAAACATCATACACATGCCTGAAGCCTTCTCCATCACCCACAGGGGAATAATCAGTCCATTTTCTGTTACCAATATTTCTTTCTTACAACACTGGTAACAGGATTTGTGGGTGCTGCTATAACACAGGTTGCTCTCTTTTTCTCCAAAACAACAGTTTCTCACTACCCTTCAAATCATAGGCTTTTCACACAGGTATGAGAAGTGCAGGGTCAGGGTCTCCATTCTGCTCATGCATTTCTGCTGCCTTCGGCTCTGCTGGGAGTGCTGAATGTCTGAGCGTGTGTCAGCTGCACACCATGGCACTCTCATCAGCATGCTATGAGCTCTGACTCAGAAGCAGGAGCATCATCTGGATATAAACCAGACCTGCTTCATAGGCCTAGTCACCATCCTGAGGTCCATCACTGTTTGCTGACCACACAAGCATTGCTCTGAAGGGCAGATTTTTCATAAAGTGTACATAACTTACAAAAAAGTTACTATTGTGATCAATATAATGAATACTTTCATATGATAACTGTGTACCCAGATAACAATCTTTATTTGATTATCTGCTAATGCACTTTATAGGTGAAAATCTTATCCTAAATTCCTTCCTATGTGATATGGTATTTTTTAATTCATTTATTTACTTTTTCATCCTAACTTTCTGAGACTTTGTCACTTAACATCCACTGCTATCACATGGACGAACATTTCAAGCACTACAAAAAATAAATACTTGCATTCTGGTGAATTCAGTCCTCAGATAACAACAAAATATATTCATCAAAGTAATTGAGAAATCAAATATATTCCATAAACCATAATCATAAAGGTAGACATATCTGATCGAGCAACCATCAGTAACAGAACAGAACACTGTTGTTTATTCCTGAGATCAGGAGGTCCCTTATTTCTAGGAATTATGTTTCGAAAAATTGTCTCAGTGATGCACTTGTCTCTTTCAAAATGGCTTCTAGACTATCCTGAAGAATAAAGTCAGAATTTAGTCACAGCAACTCATGAAAGCTGTCAAATTTATTAAGCATTGGGCATGAGGAAAACTGGCCTCTGATTTCAAGTTCTTTTCAAATATCCAAATACTGATGTAGGTTTTTCAGTATAACAAAATAAAAGATGCATTAGGATTCTCTATCCAACACACTTGTCAAGGACTCAGAAAATGTGACTTGTACTCGTTAATATGAATCACAGATAAAAATTAAGGTTAAAATATAGTCAAAACCCTGCATTTGTTTTGCCATCTGTAGCAACAGGACCATCTCAAAGTAACCACATTATAGTACAATATAGTTCACTGTTTATAAGTCAGGCCACTTATAAATATCTTATAGACCACATTGTTTACTGTGATTTTAATATAAATTAATATTTCAGTATTTTAATGACAAGGCTTAATTGCAAAGTGTGTCATGCAGTAAGTATCCTATTAATGGCTCTGTGCTGAGTCCATAATAACTTTTACAGATACTTAGGGGTTTCTTAAACTTCAGGTAAGTCCAACTTCTGACTTCACGCAGGGCAACCTAAAAGTTAAACCATGTATTTAAGAGCATTGTCCAAACTCTTGAACGTGTATGGGCTTGGGACCATGACCACTTTCCTGGGGGGCTTGTTCAAATGCTTGACCACATTTTCCTTATATCCAATCTGAACTTCCCCTGACACCGCTTTAAGACATTTTTATGCATGTGCAGCATTCGATGTAATGGGAATCTGTGACACAACAGACCCCTTCATGGTTTTTGAAGTGAAAAACTGTCAGCTAACAAAAATAGGGATCACTCTTGCCAATTTAACGTTGGCCAGAAGGTAAAAGACACATGAACTGAATTTAGAAATAACGTATATGTTTTTAATTGTTTTGATCATTGACATAGTCACTAGGAAAAACTATGCATTCTTTGCCATTTGTAGGAGGACTCATTTGACAGCGTATAGAAGCTTACAGAGTAGACATCCATAGTTAGGCTAAGACCATAGATTTCCCTTACAGACAACGGAAAAAAATACACATTTTTAGGGTGTGATTCACCTCATCCTAGAGTAGACACCCGAACTACGACAAACTAAGTGGACTTCTCCAGAAGTCCTTATTTCAATAGTTTTACAGGGTAAATAACCATGTGAGAGGAATCCTTATCTTACTATATTTAAAATCAAATCCGAATGCCTCTGTGAAAGATAAGCCTTATTTTTAAACACAATTTCTAGGTTACATACAAAGGTAATAGCAACATTCTACAATATTACCATTCCTCCTGTCCTGAAATCCCTTACATCTAAAACTGAAGACAGGATAACCAAGAACTGCTGACGAGTTTCTCAGTACCCCTACTTTCAGTTTAAGTATGATGAACTTATATTTTTCTTCTGAATTCTAAAGGAGATTTACTACCATTTTTTGAAAATATTTAGTTATTCCTAGCATTTTATTCTATGCAAGCATTTTTCGCTGCATTGTCTTTACAGATTCTCTTATACAGCCAGTGAAAACATGAGGAATTTTCTGAAAAATAAAGAGTGGTAATGAAAATGATCACAAAATGTGACTGTCAAAATAAAAGACCTTCAAAATTTCCTTACAATTACAGGAATTACTCAAGAGAAAGTGAAAAGATAAAGAAAATCTGGAAGACCACTCTCCCAGCATGTGACAGTATAGCTAGCACATGTTAATCATCCATAGTTACTGGAAAAATAGAGAAATAAAATCAATCAATCAAGAAAATATATTTTAATAGGATTAAATTAATACCTGTTTGAAATAGTCTTTTATCAAAACTGAAAATGCTACATCTTCTGGTATCCTCAGAAAAAAAATTGTCTTTTAATGTTTGCTCTGTGTTCAATGCTTTAAAACCATTTTTCTTCAAGATCCATAGTCCAACATATTTTTTCAGAAAGCTATTCTTTTGAATATGTGGACATTTTTCAACACTCAAATATTTTATTGTGACATTTTAAAAAATTCATAAGCATCATTAATACTTAAAAATATTTTATCCAGAACTCTATATCTATTTATTTGAATATCGTGTTGCCATATTTCATGGAATTGCTTAGTTTGGTTGCCTTGCGTCCATACTTTCCTTTCTGGGCAGAAAAAATCATTTGGATTAAATCTCTCTTGACTCACCATACACAGAGTTCAAGGAACATAGTTCAAGATATAACCTAACTAATAAATCAGGAAGATTTGGAACTCATAGGTATACAATTTTCTTGCTCAAGAAACATCTTAACAACACCTCTGAATACATTTTTTAAAAAAATTATCACTTTTCTGTCAAGTTTTAAACCTTCAAAACTGTCTTTCCATTTCACAGGGGGAAAAAAGGACACATTTTTGATGTAACCTTAATTTTTAACAGATTAAAGGAACTGCAGTTTACAAAGTTAATTTCAACCATGATATAAATCATCCTGAGGGAAGTCCGTCTGGCCTTCTCATCCAGCCACACATAGCTTTTGTTAAAGGCTTTAGACAGTGTCGAATACTGTTCTACATAGTACATAATACTCCCATAATACTACCATTCCCTTGGAAAACAGAAGGTTTGTATTATGGGAAGAAGAATTTAACCAAAAAGAAGAGTGAATACATATAATAAAAACAACATATAATCTGACACTTGGAAAAGAAAGGCACATGTCTATCTCCATGGCTTTTCTTCCTTGTTACATCTCCATCTCTCCTACCTAAACATTACCAAGTCCAAACACCAGCAGCTACAAAGGATCAAAAGAAGCAGAACACCAGTGGAACTTTAAAATGGTATAAAAGGACATCTGTTTTTCCTCCTCCTGCTACCTTCATACCAAACTTAGGGAAAGTAACTGGAGTAGCACAGGAAGGAAGCAAATTAACACTGAGAAAGAACAGATAGTCTACACATTCGTCTTTTATGCAGGTCTACAACTAAAGGAAAGAGGCATGTGGCCTCTCAAAGCTGCAGAACTTTTTGAGAGCCACTACACTACTGCTGAAGTTCAGATCAGGTGCTTACTCCTGAAGTGAATTTCTTTGTTGCCATTGCATGCTGTGCTTTGCTTGTAGCATGGGACAGTCCTGAATCATGGGAATCGTCTTCTTCTCACACGATACTGAATGGCAAGAAAGGCTCCAGGAGTGTCCTTCAGCCCCAAATAGGCATTCAACACATACAACAAGGCAACAGCTTGTCCGTGTGGTCTATTGTGCTTACTAAAATAGGGCATAGCTTACATGACTGTTGATGAGCACCAGTGAAATACATGTACACCAAAAAAGACTGTGGCATATTGATGCAATTGTAAATTCTCCTAGCAATAAACGGGTTTCTACTGACAGAACATGATGTAACGAATCAGGTCCACGTATCACTGACTAGCTGAGAATAAAGAGCAAAGAGCTTACCTTAATAGGGCTTCCATCGGGAGTGAGAACCTCTTCTGAAAGCTCCATCATCTTCAATGCCATTAGGGCAATGGCTTTAGCATGACTAAGGCTTTTCTTATGGAGCCCTGCAGCAACACAGTATGCATCGCCTATTGTTTCCACCTGCAGCAATTAGACAAATCAAATGTTAAAGTATGATAATGAGAAGGGAACACTACCATTAGGGTTGCAATCAAATAGCATTGCTTAAAACATGTGAGCAAAATATCCATAAATAAGGAATTAGACAATGGAGCATAATTACCTGAGTTTGCAAACAGGTGCAGTCAAAACCTGACTTACAACTGCATAGTGGTTTGTTACCATTATAACCAAAGAAGATAATCTAGACCTGTGTATATCATCAGCTGAGATACTACAACATTTTTCCATGGCAGTAACACAGAAAACTGCCTTTTCTTAAATGAGAGATTGCTTGCAGCTTTGTTTCACACTATCTTGGCTGAGCTTGCTGTTGGGTAAGAATAGTGCTACATAATTATAATTCATAATTAGTATTTGCTGTGCTAGAAAATTATATCGGGAAGATAATTAGAAAAAGCAAAACATCACCATAAAAAACACTGAAGAGTATATAACTTCTCATTAGTGGGTAGCTCTTCCTGCTGTAGGGATAATTTACAAATAGATGCTATTGTTACAGACTTTTGACTACACCTTTCTCTGTTATTTTCAAATAAGAATTGATGTCCCTCTTACTATACAGGCTATCTGACTCTGAATTCCCTACATGAAAGGCATGAAGTTAGCAGACTGATCCCTCTGGTCTCATCAGACAGGCCTTACCTCTCTCTTATCCTTGATTTTCTTTAAAGAAAGCTGTCCCTCAGGAGGAAGCAGGAGCAGAATGAATTGCAGAAGGCCTCTGGCTCTGGATAAAGGCAACCTGAGAAATCTTGAGGCCCTCAAGCTTTATTGACAGAATTCTGTTGTGCAGTCTGCTTGCCCATGTTACATCTGTAACATTCTCACACACAGTCCATTAACACACGCCCAGTCAGACCTCAAGAATTAGTTTGGGTTTGCTACATAACTAATCTGGCTTTCAATTGAGGATAAAGAACTACAGTCTATACGTTCCTGGGTGCCTTCATGTTATACACAGATGATCAAGTGAATACAAGATTACTTTGGAAAGTAAATATGTATGAATTGTATAACTATTCTTTGTTCAAGGATGCTCTACCTTGAGAAAAGGAAGCCTTTCAGTCATACATGTTTGAGGAAAAATATATTATGCTGCTCAATTTTATTTTTTTTTTTGTTGATTCCACTGACAAATATAGATTATGTATATAAATGTATCATACACATAAAATTTAGACAGAGTAATCAGATATTCTTCAGCCATGTCTTGATTTCTTACCCTCCTTTTCATAGAGCAAAAAATGTTTCCTGTAATTGAGCTGTGGTTCCCTATGCATCAAATCCTACTTGTGGTCGCACCCATTTCTGTTATACTAATCACCAAAAAGATTTATTTCTGCTTAAGTAAGTATGTGGTCGTAATCATTGTAATTTTAGGTTGGCAAGAAAACTTGGAATATTAAACATATCTCTACATTCCACACCGGGTTTACAGGCACTGTATAAAGTATATATGCTATATTTAGCTGAAGAGAAGATCATTACTAAACTGTTTCTGATCACTTATGAGTAAGTGATCAGAGCTTGAAAACATCCTACTGTTGTGAGGATATAAACTTCATTTTACAATATTGAAATAATAACAAACACCAGTTGCAATTATATCAGTTTCCTCCTTAAGAGCTTGAGAGTGAAAAAAAAAAAAGCAGAAATAAGCAGCAGGTAACGGTTTATGTAACTGTAGTTTAATGCTCTTTGCCTTCTTCACTTAACTTTTCTTTGAGAAAAATAACATTCCTGGTTTGAGTGTGTTGGTTTGGGGTTTTTTAGCTGCACTGAAGAGTGTTATTTTCCATCTTAACCTGCCTCTCCTTTTGCCTGTTGCCTATGCATGTTTCTGCTCTCCTACCCAAATACAGACATATTGTTCTAGGTGCATGCAATGTGTACCGAGTAGTAAGTTAACACTTTTCAAAATACAAGTTTGTAAAAAAGTTATCTAGAATTTTTAGATATTTAGATTTATTTTACAACAAAATCTGTGCTTCTTTCTCTGATAATAACATTATTTGCACCCTCATCAGCGTACAGTTGACTAAAATGGGGGGAACAGTCAATTTGCTCCAGGGCAGGGCTGCCATCCTGAGGCACATGGAGAGGCAGGATGAATTGGAAGCTCATGAAATTCAATAAGGACATGTGCAATGTCCTGTCCATGGGAAAGAATTTCTCTGGAACTGATACAGCCAACTTCCTGAGGGGTAGCTCTTTGGGAAAGATCCTGGGGGTCCTGGTGGGCAGCAAATGGTGCATGGGTCAGCAATGAGTCTTGGGAACAAAGATAGCCAATGATAGCCTGGGCTGAAGGAAAAGACATCAGGGGAAGGGCTTATCATCCCCTACTCAGCACTTATTAGACTTAGATACCACACACAGTTTCGGGCCCCTCAGTACAAGACAGAGATTGATAAACTGGATCCAGCTCAGAAGGGGCCAGCAAGACAGTGGCAGCTAGAGCACCTGAGAGAAGAGTTTGGGAGAGCTGAGCTTGTCCAGCCTGGAGCAGAGATGGTTTCAGGGCACGGGAGGAGATTGAGGCGGGCTCTTCACAGTGGTGAAGGGTGAGAGAGCAAGAGAAAAAAATGACATCACCATTCTTATGGATTAGGAAAGAGGGAAATCTGAGAACTTACTGACAACAAGGTCTTACTCAGATAAAAAAGAATTTTGCAAGTTTTTTAAAGCAATCAAACAGATCTACAGACAGTAAGGATTTTCATAGATGCTTCAGCAAACACAGTGATAAAGAACATAACCCTTGTGTTTTACCATGTAAAGTCTCGTAATAAAAATGCTAGAAAGTAGACTGCTGTGTGTACCTGACACTTCATAAGTAGCTCACAGGGCTTCTTGTGCTTCTTCAAGTACCCACATTCAATACTACAAAACATGGACCATTATAATGCACTAGTTATGGCAGTTTCTGCTGTAACCCAAGATTTAACTATATGGTATGCCTTGTTCGCCAAGGAAATGGTTTCTTAAAGAAAAAAGTCAGAGTATGTTCTATATGTACTCCTCAGCCTAGACTTAACAGAGCACATCTTAGCTTCCTGCACACCCAGGCTGTATTTCCATGGGAGCATTAAATATATAAGGAGATGGTTTCTTAAGTCTCATCCCAGCATGAATTCAAGATTCAGGATGGAAACGGACCTTGAACTGGAAAGTATCAGGTACTACAGTAAATACCTCTGCCTTCACAAACTTTTCATTATCCTGTTTATCCATGTTTCATTCCATCTCCAAGACTGAACTACATAGTACCTCAAAACTATATATTTCTTTTATGAAAGCTGAAAAGCCTTCACTCTAAAGGAATACAGCAAAATTCAGCCTTAATATGAAATTCTTGCAAGTATAACTCTAAAGGAAACCTTTGAAGTTACTGGTATCTCTCAAAGGGCTTTTCTTTCATCCATTTTCTGCCCTAAGTTGTACAGTAGGAAAATAAGAAAAAGGCCATGGTATATGGCAAAGTAATGCTTCAGACTTATCATTTGGGCTTCCTTATTCCTCTCCATGACTTCTAGTTCAGCAGCAAGCAGGATACCTTTTCAACTGATATACAACAAAGACTGAAGAAAATTGAGATTCTCTACATTTTATTTTTATTTTAGGGCAGCCATCTCAGCCCTCATCACAAGGAACAATTTATTTGATATCCATATTCTACTTCAAGATGTCATTGACATCTCCCACATTTAATTCTACCCAAATCACTCTCCAGATATATCACTGCAGATCAGTAATAAGTTTACAACATTGTCATTCAGGATGGAACTCACATTATCCAGTGTCAGTCACACAAAAATGAAGCCTCCAATTTGATCTACTCATCTCTACACCTTCTATACTCCTTCTATAATAACTAAAGAGAAAAATGAACTTCCAGCGCATGATGTATTCCATCCTGAATTCTGGAAACCTCTTTTTTTTCCCCATTTATTACAGCAGGATGCTAATGTGTGTATCTTTGCTTAATTGCCTTTTTCCATGCCCAGACTGTCTTTCGATTTGCAAGACCCCTTCCATGCAGTCATCAGCATGCTTTTTCTGAGAAATGGTTGAAAACCAGCAATGGCCACAGACTGCAAACCTTAGTTTGTGAAATTCTCAGAAGACTCTGGGTGAGCTCCATGCCTTTGAAAGTGCACCCCAGCGTGCATGTTCCTGCTCCCATAAAGTAGGAGAAAGATTGCATGAGTGTGTTGACTGCTAGTGCTACGATACCATTTGTCAGCACAACAAGATCCTGTTAATCTCAAAAAGTCCTGGATCTTGGCATGCGTATTTTGGCACGCAGGTCAGGGGATGTTATTAATCACAAAGCGGAGGGAGAGCTGACATGAAGTATTTTGTGCAACTTATGGCAGAAAGACTTGAACAAGTCATTTAATCTAAAATACAGATTCTAAGGAAAGAAACAACTAAAAACACGCCAGAGAGAAAACAGATAAGGCTATTTCCCTAAGAGATAAAGTGTGTGTGCTCTTTCTCTGCAAGTGGTGCAAGTGCAGTTCGGAAAAGCCTACTCGGAGCTTGACTAAGTATACCTGATCCTGAAGTAGCTCTAGATCTACCTTTCTGTCTCCATAGCTACTGTCCTTTTTCAAATTAACTAAAACCTATTTGTTTTCTTGCTGTTGTGCGAATAGACATTAAGACTCAGTTTAGTTTACATTTTGAAACATTCTATATGTTTTTCCACTGCACAAATTTGTCAGAAAAGCTTTGAAACAGTTGAATTGTGCGACACTGTGAAGCCTAATAACATCTGTCAGTTTAAAGCACTTAGGTCTGGGGTATTTTGCTGAAATTAATTCTACATGTGGGATACACTATTATTTATAGATTTCCAAATTCTCTGGGATATTATAAAAAACTTCCTTATTTTGAGGGGATTTTAAAGTTTTCAAGATAGGATTTCAGAACACAACTGTCTCCAAATGGAC